CCCCCCCCCCACAAGCGCCGCGCGCCCAGGGCCGGCGCTCCCCCCACGGGCACCGTGTTGGGGACCACGGGTGTAGACGGAGCTTGGTCCTGCCTTGAGGGCGGGGGGCTGGACTCGACCTCTCGAGGTCCCTTCCAGTCCGATGATTCTATGATTCTACTCTGATCCAGCTGGGGAGGTATAGATTATTAGTTCTGCTTGGCTCAGAGGATCAGAACCCCCAATTGTTACAGTCAGCCAGAAGGCTTGGAGGCTACCGACTGCTTGTTCTAACCCACCTCAGAGACTGTGGATTGATAATTTCCTCAGACTTGTTGGGGGTCCTGAGGCTAATGATCTGATCCCACTGGAAGTCCAGATGATGGAATGATAGGGTATACCAAACCCACACTGGGCCAATGGGGGGGAACCACACTCAATAGCCTCATCACAGAACCCTTCAAACGCCTTTGGAAAAAAGTGAAGATTGTGAAGAAAAAACACTGTTACCTATCTTTCATAACTATTGTTCTTCAAGATGTGTTGCTCATCCATATTCCATTTAGGTGTGTGGGCATCGCATGCATGATTGTTGGAAGGTTTTTCCCTAGGCAGTATCCGTTGGGCCTGTAGGAGAGCACCCTCGACTGGCACCTCCATGTCGGCACATTTATACCCTTGCTGTCTTCCACCCCTTTAGTTACTTCTTGACAGAACTCTCCGGTGAAGGGAAGGTGGGCAGGATTTAGAGTGGACATGAGCACCACATCTTGAAGAAGAGTTACGAAAGTGATTGTATTTTTTCTTCTTCGAGTGATTGCCCGTATCTTTTCCATTTACGTGAATTCCAAACCAAACTAAAGGAGGTGGGGTCAGAGACTAAGCGGAAATGGACTGCAACACAGCTCTGCCAAACACTGAATCATCCCTGGCTTCCTCAATGGCATAGTGATTGGTGAATGTATTTATAAAACACTAGGTAGCCACCCTGCAGATATCAAGGATGGAAATCTTCGCCACAAAGACGGCTGATGAGACGTAGGCTCTAGTGGAATGTGCTGTGATTTCAAGATCTGGGACATTCGCAAGGTCAGAGCATGTCCTAATGCAGGCTGTGATCCATGAAGATGCACGCTGGGCAGAGACTGGTAGACCCTTCATCCTTTGTGGTACAGAAATGAAGAGTTATGGGGACCTACCAAATGGTTTTGTTTTCTCTAAATAAAAAGCCAAAGCACATATCACATCCAACATGTGTAGAGCTTGTTCTTTACTACTTGTGTGCAGTTTAGGAAAGAACACAGAGAGGAAAATATCCTACTTCACATGGAAATGAGACATCATCTTAGGCAAAAAGGCAGGATGCAAGCGTAACTGACCTTGTCTTTAAAGAAAACTGTTTAAGGGAGCTCTGAGGTTAAAGCTCAGAGTTCTGACACTAAAAAAGTCACTTTTCATGACTAGGGATAAACTATCTCTGCACCCTGAGGAGAACTCTGAGAAGTGGGGGAGGAGCAGGAGGGAGAGTGTATAATAGGTGGGGCTAGCCAAGGTACCTTAAACACATCCCCCTTGGAACCCAGACTGTGATTCAGGAAAAAGCAGACAATGGAACTTCCTGTTGCTGTCTGTTGCAAAGAGGTCTAGATGGGGATACCCCATCTGTGGAAAAATGCTTTGGGCTACATCTGCTCTGAGAGACCACTCATGGGCTAGGAATGACTGACAGAGTCTGTGAGGACATTCTGAGTTCCCAGGAAATACAAAACTCCCACAGCCAAAGAGCTTCCAGACAGAGGGCAGAGAAATGAGCACCATGCGTTCTGTTGATACAGAACATCATTGCTGTATTATCTATCAGAACTGAAATGCACTTGCCTCACAGGAACACCCAGCATACAAGACATACCACTCTTAGTTCCCCGACATTTACGTGATGCGATAGCTCTTGTTGGGACCGCATGCATATACCTTGGGTCCTCGGGTCTCCAATGTATGCTGTCCAGCCCATGTTGGAAACAAAGGGTGCAGCCTGGTGAACAGCTTTCCCCCACAAATGATTCTCTCCTGAAGCCATCAGGTGATGGAGTGCATGACATTGGGAGGCATCATAACCACCATGTGTAGCTGGATTGTACATCTGAGCAAGTCATGCCTTCAGGGGATGTAACCTTAGCTTGGCATGTTGCATGACATATGTGCATTCCGCCATATGTTCCAACAGCCTTATACGATTCCTGGCTGTTGCAATGGGTAAAAATCAGAGGCCTAGGATGATATCCTTTATAGTGTGGAAGCGAGCACTGGACAGGGAAGCCATGGCCTCTGTGGGGCCCAGAAAGGCTCCAATAAACTCTATGTGTTGTATGGGAACAAGGGTGGAGTTAGCCTCGTTCAACATAAGCCGAAAACAGATCAATGTGGCTCTCACTAGTGGAGCACAGATGGGAAGTGGTTGAAGTATTCCATATCCAATATGCAAAATAAGATTTATAAGACAATGTTATGTTCCTTTTTTTAAACAAAAAATCAAATTTATTTAACTGTTTAAGCTCTCAGGTTAGGAGTTTTTGGTTTTACTTTACCTCAATTGGTGAGCTGGAAGAAACTATATTTTATTTCAATTCTTTAGACTGTCTTCATCTGTATTTCCACTTCATCAATTCCAATATGATATTATAGCAATGCATATTTCTATTAATCTGTAAAACAGGAAAAAATTGGCTTTGAGTCTGGAGCAATATTTTGTCAGTGAGAAATTGTTGCAATGGTTTTCAATACATAATGTGAACTGATTATTGCAGATATATCCACTATTACAGATGTTAACTGGTGTTTGCTATTTGTTGCTATCCATTTCTATCGAAAGAAAACCTCTAGAGCCACATTTCTCACATTCTATACTTTTAAAGCCTTAACATATTAGTCACATTTCTCATATTCTATACTTTTAAAGCCTTAACATATTAGTAAAATACTGAGGAACACTTTGGAACAAAGAAAAATGTTCATGACTTAACCGATTAGTAAAGAATCATTTTTATTCTCCATTTTAAGAAATCAGACTGCCAAAGGAAGGATGTCTGTCTGTCTCTATATACAGGTGGCCCGACCCCTGACTCGCAACACGATTGGTTCCCAGGGAGGTGTCACAAGTCGCGGTGTCATTACTTGAACCCTCATTTTCGATAGGTGCCTGAGGGAGCCTCCCATTCATGAAACAGACTCCGGCACCAGGGGATAATTCACACTCCTCTGACTGGCACCAGCCAGTGCGGCCCGACATGCAGGGGGTGCACCATGGGCTTTGAGAACAGCAGCGGCGCCGGAGCGCTATAGCCCTGGTGGGCGAGCTGCTCTCCCCGGGCTGTGCAGGGCAGGCTGCCCAGAGCGATCCGGGGCTGGGCAAAGGGCAGCCCCTGGTCACTGCAGCCAGGGACCATGCTACGAGCCAGGTGCCTTTGGTCATCTCTCTGCCTGCCTTGCACTTACTAGTGACCCCTCCGGCTGAGGCAGGCACCCTTGGCCAAGGAGTTTGCAGGAGTATGTGTGTTGGGGGGGGGAGTAGCGCACACTGGCAAATGGGGGGCAACTCTCCCCCTTTTCTCTACCGCAGTGCTGGTCGCGGAGGTAGGGGAGAGCTGCAGCCTTGGTGGGGCCGGGCAGAAGGAAGGCCCTGCCCAGGCCAGGATGATTCAAGCAGAGGTGCCTAGGCTAGGGGGAGGGGAGAGCTACTTTGCAGCCCAATCTGGTTGGTCTGGCGGTGAGGAGCCGCTGGAGAGGTCCCCGCCTGCCCCGGCTCAGAGATTGGGGAGAGGGGGAGAGGTGTCCCTGGCCTTGCCCTTTATGTTTCCCAACTGTGTCCGCATGCATCTCCAGGGGGACCTGTGCCACTTTCACCCTTCCCCCAGGGCATTCTGACATTTCTGCATGTGCTGGGGGGAGGGGACATGAGGGTTTGGCAGGGAGAGGGAAAGGATACAGAGTTCGGTCAGTGGGGGGGAAGTAGGAGAGGGGAGCGGACTGGGTCCGGTGTGGAGGGGGGAGATCGGGTTTGGCTGGGAGGGAGGAGAGGTCACAGGGTGGATCAGGTGGGGGACAGAAGGGGGACAGACTGCATCCGGTCACTGAGGGGTCAAGTTTGCCTGGGAGGGGAGAGGAGGTGGAAACTGGGTTCGGTGAGTGGGTGGGTGAGGGTCAGAATGTGTGTGGACGAGGATGTGTGTGGAGGGGAGACAAGATGTAGGCTGGGTTTGGCTGTAGGGCGTGGTGGGAGTCAAACAGCTACAAGGTGAAAGGGGTGCTTTCCTCCTCAGTGCCTGTCCTGCAGCACTGGGAAGGGGGCAAACATTTTTTTGCTTGGGGAGGTAAAAAACCTAGAACTGGCCCTGCACACGGCACATGCATGGCCCCGCCCCGGGCGAGCACGCCCCGGGCGTGCAAATGTGCAGTCTCGCCCCCGGGCACCCTGTGCACGCACGGCCCCACCCCCAAGCGCCCGGCAGCCCCAAAAAGTTGGGGACCACTGATCTACATGTTTTGTTAGTCTTTAAGGTGCTACTAGACTATTTGTTGTTTTTTTAGTTTATCTTTATTAATGACCTGGATGAAGGGATGGATTGCATTCTTAGCAAGTTTGCAGATTAAATGAAATTAGGGGTAGAGGTAGATATGTTGAAGGATAGGGATAGGGTCTAGAGTAACCTAGACAAAATCGGAGGATTGGGCCAAAAGAAATCTGATGAGGTTCAACAAGGACAAGTGCAAAGTCCTTCACTTGGGATGGAAGAATCCCAAGCACTGTTACGGGTGGGAGACTGACTGGCTAAGCAGCAGTTCGGCAGAAAAAGACACGGGGATTAAAGTGGATGATAAGATAGATATGAGTAAACAGTGTGTCTTGTAACTAAAAAGGTCAATGCCATATTAGGGTGTATTAGGAGAAGTACTGACAGCATATCTAGGCAAGTGGTTATTCCCCTTTATTCGGCGCTGGTTATGCCAAATCTGGAGTTGTGTGTCCAATTCTGGACCCTCCATTATGGAAAAGATGTGAAGCATTGGAGAGGGTCTAGAGGAGGGCAACAAAAATGATTAGTATCAGAGGGGTAGCCGTGTTAGTCTGGATCTACAAAAGCGACAAGGAGTCCTGTAGCACCTTATAGACTAACAGATGTATTGGAGCATAAGCTTTCATGCATCGACAAAGTGGGTCTTTGTCCACAAAAGCTTATGCTCCAATACATCTGTTAGTCTATAAGGTGCTACAGGACTCCTTGTCAAAAACCATTAGGGAGCTAGAGCACACGATTTACAAGAGCAGGCTGAGGGATTTGGGCTTATTTCGTCTACAGAAGAGAAGGGGGGGGATTTGAGAACTAGCCACACTCAACTGGCCAAAAAGCCACACTGTTCAAGTCAATTAGCCCCACACAACTGACAGAACAGCCACATGTGGCAAGTGGCCACCTCAGGGCTGGGCAAAATACGGCCCAAGGGCCAGATACAGCCTGCCAAGCCACCGGATCCAGCCCACGGACCACCCTGCCAGGACCCACAGGCACACACGCAGCTGCACAGTTTAAAGCACAGTCCATGGAGTGGAAGAAGCTTTGTGCGATCTCCCCACCTCAGCCAATCCTCAGCTCCTATTGGCCAGAAACAATTGGCCAATAGGAAATGACCACAGCCAATCAGAGCTGAGAGATTGGCCTGCAGGATCTCAA